TTAAAGGAGATGTGTCAGAGGCGGAGTCTGTTTAAAGGAGGTGTGTCCGGGACAAGTTTGTTTAAAGCAGGATGTTGGGGGAGGAGTCTGAGTGCGCTCGGTTTTAGGTGGATCAGGATGAACACAGGTGACTTGGATTCACTCAGACGCAGTTCAGTACATCTGGATTAGCAGTTTTAATTCATCTCAACTGAAACACATCAGTAGAAAATCCAGAGGTTTTGTACTTGAGCCCAGGATCTTGCAGAAATCCCTCCTGAACACCTGTTTCCGACCCAAAACCACCATCAATTGAAGTTTTAAGTGAATATAATGATTTGGTTTCCTCCGTCGGCTCTAAATAATAAAACCTCTATAGCAGCTGTCTGAACAGCATACCTCAGGATATTTGGACTTCAAGCTCTTGTGCATTTCTCTGAAGCGGCTGTAGCGTCTGAATACCGTCCATGTCTCGTCCATCACGGTGACCTGAAGGAGGACAGAGACAACAGCGTCCACACCCAGTTCCATCGGACAAAAACTCAACCTGAAGCTGTCATCAAATCATTTTCAGAAAATAAAATGTCCAAAATGTGAACCTAAAGGTGACAGATGGTTTTGTTGAAGGTTAACGTTCAGGTCCCCGAGGGGCAGCACGCCACCCAGTTCTTGAATTAAATCATGTGGAGAATTTTATGAAACCCTGGAAACTTTACCTCCACATCTGTAAAATGGACTGAGTTGGAGTCATTTTTCTGTTTGCTAAGATTGCTTAGCTGCGGCAGCCATCTTGAATCATGTGACTCAAAAAGTTAATGAGCAGTAGACGCTGACTTATTTATCTTTACTTAACCAGACTTGCTGTGAGGCAACAGTGCTAAGCACTGAGCTAATTTACAGATGGTAGTAGCCGACAGTTGATACACATCCTCTGAGTTCTGAGGTCGTTGGTTAGAACGTTTTGACATGCACGGTGGCGGGTGATATGCATTCCTTCCACAAACACCATTTTAAACAGAACTTATCAGCAGAGTTGATCCAGATGGATGTTAGCAGCACATTGTAGTTGTCCTGCTGGTCTCTGGATTTAACCCTGGATAATTTGTTGCCATGACGACTGTTTTTGAATTTGAAGAGGGACCGGTTTATCACTTTGGTACGGCACCGAGTTGGAATAAACCAGAATGAATTGGACTACATGTAACCGAATCTTGTGATAATTCACAGATTTAACGGTCGGAGGGAGTCCCTTAGACACAAAAATAAGATTGTCACAGAAATATTGTTGAATTGTTTTCAGACTGAGATTAACTTCAGTCGTTTACATGTGTGTGAATGAGAGGGAGGAGGTGGAACAGTGAGGCTACAAGGAGCAGAAGTCAAAGGTGCAGGACTTCAAGGACATGGGGTCCACTGCCCAGGAAAATGGGGAGTTTGGTAAAGAGGTGAAGAAGAGAGTCCAGGCAGGATGGAGTGATGGAGAAAAGTTTCAGGAGTGATTTGTGAAAAGGGTGTCAGCAAAGGTCAAAGGAAAAGTTTACAAGACAGTGGTGAGACCAGCTATGTTGTATGGTCTGGAGACAGAGACATGGACAAAAAGACAGGAGACAGAACTGGAAGTGGCAGAAATGAAGATGCTGAGGTTCTCCTCAGGAGTGACAAGGCTGGATAAGATTAGAAATGAGATCAGAGGTACAGCACAGGTTGAACAACTGGGAGATAAAGTTAGAGAGGACACACCGAGATGGTTTGGACATGTCCAGAGGAGGGACAGTGAGTATGTTGGTAGGATGCTGGAAATGCAGCTGCCAGGAAAATGACAGGGAGGAGATATATGGATGCAGTTAGAGAGGACAGAGTAAGACTGAGGATGATGATTCACTGTGGAGACCGTTAACCCATTCAGTTTTAGTTGTTCTTCACTTTTAACATTTTAGATTCTCAAGTCTTTCAAAACATGATCATCCTGAGTTTTTAATCCAGATTTTGTTGTCACCATGAGAGGTTTTATAAAGACAGCTGGAGTTATTTTCCTGTTTGATGAAGACGTTTCTCGATTGAAACCAAAAGTTGTGAAACGTCAAACTTTGAACTTCGGTGAGCTGAACTCACATGAAGCCCTGCCCTCCCTGCAGAGGGTTGTCAGGGTGTTTTGGGGTAAAATAGCAGCTCAGATCAGAGACTCACCTTCACCTCAAACTCAAAGTGCTCGTCCTTGCCTTGTCCCCGAAGAACGTAACGAGGAACGCTAACTTTAACGGGCTCCTGCGCGCTGCTGTGGCTCGACCCGATGGGTCGGGACACCAAGTGCTGCGGGGGGGGGGGGGGGGGGGTCCCCGAATCAGAACAGACAGGAAGAGAAACAGAAAGAGGAAGAGAGTAAAAAGCTGGTTCAGAACCAACGCTCCTCTGAATTTAAAGTAAAATAAAAACAATCAGAATTTCAGCTGATATTTAAACTTTATTAATGTGTTTCACAAAAACTCCATAAAATTTAACACATTAAACATTTTACATCTTTAATTTGAAACCATTTTCCATTCGGACAGTAAATGAGTCAATAAGAGAAAAATAAAGACATTTAGAAGAAACTTTATTAACTGAACTGATTAGAACCTTTGAAACTGTCAGAACAGAGACATTTTAAAAATAATAAAATGTTTTTAAAAACATTAAATGCTGACTTAATACTTTATATGAAATTTATATCCTAAAAACAAAAAGCAGGACAGGAGAGGTTCATCAGGTAACATCTGCTTTTAGGCACACAGGTGATTAATCAGGACCTGAGCCTCTGAGGAGCAACTGAAAACCAATTTCCAGGAGTCACCCGGACCTCTGGACGAAAGAACTTCAGCCGAGACACGTCTCAGCGCTGGTCTACGGTGGTTTGTAAAGATGATGTCCGTGGCGAGGCAGTTCTCAGCCGACCTCACCAGAAGACACCTGATGTCCGCTCGCCTGCGGACTCTGAGGTTTTGAAACTGAGGCTGGGAGGGAACCAGACTGGACCCCCGCGGCACCGGATGGAAGACTCCGTCCTCCTGGAGAAGAACTATGTGAGTGTCTGTCAGGAGGAACTGGAAGATGGCCTCCTGTTGGACCTGGGAAGAGTTCTTGACCTTAACGCTGGTGTAGAGCAGAGGACAAACATTAGCCAGGGACGGTTTGTCTGGACCGTCCATGTTTCCGTGGACGATATAAAGCAGGTCTGCGAGGACCCGCTTGAATCTGTTCGTGATGTAAAGACCGTTGTCCATGACTATGTCAGGGACATTGGATGTCCAGTCCAAAGACAGAGCCATGAGGTCATCAGACAGTAAGTGACCCTCGGTCAGCTCAGAGAACTCACCAGGAGACCGGGCCTTCAGCAGCGCCTTACAGAACTCCTGTGTCAGCTCTTTGCTGTGAGTGAAAACAGCTAAAACCGTATCTTCACTGCAGCCGAGCAGACGGACGTGCTGTCCGGCCAAACTGATCTGGACCTCTTTGATTTCCAGAAGCTCAAAATGATGAAACAGAACCAGCGTGTCCCCAGATTCTGTTCCTGCTGAAACAACCACCAGGTTCTTTTCTGACAGAACCAGACAAGCAGGTTTTGGAATGGGTTTCTTGAAGCTGGCCGTCTTGATCCAGAAGATACTCAGAATCTTTTCAACTGGTCTTTGAGGAAGCAGAGACTCCATTTCTTTTAGGACCTGCTGAGATGAAAGATTCTGTAACTGGGTCAAAGGTGGTGGCAGCTGGATCAACTTCTGATGAAACTCTTCTGGGCTTGTGTTCCTGACTGAAGACACAGACCCCTCAGGCCACTCCGAGATCCCTGAAACAACTGCTACACTAAAGTGTTGAGGAGGACCAACGGAGCCATTCTTCGACAAATCCACCAAACGGGCTTTGCATTCTGCAGCAGTGGGAGGTTCTGGTAGTAGAAGCTGTGTTTGTTGGATCAGAGACAGCTCTTTGAACACCATGTTGACATACTGGGACACAACAAACTTCATTTCATTGACTCCAACACTTCGAAGGATGTCTCGTGTTTCCTGAAGTCGTCTCTCTGCATCTTTGTACGTTTTGGAAAGCTTCCCAGAAAAGTAATCCAAAACGTAGTTTTTGCCAGCCTCCTTCAAATCTTGCAGAGAGTATTTGTCAGAACTCTGAGACTTCAGTATTGGATCCACTGATTGATCCCTGGGTAGTTCAGAATCCACTGACCTCCATGAGTATATCTTTTGGTCCTTGACTTTTTGAATGCAATCCCAAACATAGCTCCTGCCAGTCAACACCCTTTCTGCAGATTCATTGCTTTTGTTGGTCTTTTCATCACCGATGGATTCTGAATAATGCTTGGAGGGGTTGTCATCACTGCCAGAATGTTGCAGTTTGGTTGAATGATCCCTGGTAAGTTCAGGATCCTGTACTCTCCATGGGTAGAGCCGTTGGTTCTTAAGTTTTTCAAAGTAGTCCCAAATGTAGCTCCTGTTGGCAGACCTCCTTTCTGCAGATTCTTTTTTATCTTGTCCCAGTTTTTCTGTCATGGACTTGAGGTCTTGCTGTAAGCTGGTGTCAGCAATTTCAGAGCTCTGGGTCTTTGATGAACATTCAGATTCCTCTGGTCTCCATGGGTAGAGTGTTTGGTTTTTGATGTTTCTAACATACTCCCAAAGATTGTTTCTGTTGGCTGACACCTTCCCCGCTTCCTTTTCTTTTAGGTGTTCTATTTCACAGCTGACAGTTGTTGAATCTTGATCAGAGCTGATACAAGTGCCAAAACTTTGTGACCTGGAAAGCCCAGATCTGAGCTCTGGTTTCCATGGGTACAACGCTTGATTCTTGACTTCTGTAACATAATCCCAAATGTAGCTCCTACTGGCTGACACGCTTTCTGCAACTTTGTACTTTTCTTGACGGAGTCCACCAATGGACTTGGAATTGTGCTTAAAGCAGGTGTAATCACTGCCAGAACTCTGGGACTCTAAAAGCTCAGATTCTTCTGTGGTCCATGGGTACAGCGTTTGGTTCTTGCCTTTTGCAACATATTCCTGAATGTAGCTCCTGCTGGACGTCACTTTCTTTGTTTCAGCCTCTTCTTGCAGATGAATGACAGACAAGTTCAGCTCCTCTCCAGAATCCTTTTTAGAGCTCTGGAATTTCACCAAATGATCCTCTGACACGTCAAACTCTTCTTTCTCCAGGTTATACGTTTGGCTGTTGACTAATACAAAGTCCTTTAAAACAATGTTCTTATTGTCCAACATGTTCTCTTCATCCACGTGATCATTAATAAAGTTCATCTCTTTACTGGTAACACTTTGAGAGCTCTGTGACTTTGATGACCACTCCTCTGATGCTCCGGACCCATCCTCAGATGCTTCTGACTCTTCTTTCTCCAGATTTTGCATTTTGTTGTGCATTACTGTAAAGTTCTCTAAGTCAAGGTTCTTGGGGCTCGGTTCGTTTTGGTCTTTGTTCATTTGACTACTAATGGCCTCTTTTGAAACCTCCTCACAGCTGACGTAATCATTAATCTGGGACTTGGAAAGTCCTGATTCTTCTCTCTCTAGATCAAATGTCCCATCCTCCGACGCTCCGGACTCTTCTTGCTCCTGGTTATACGTTTGGTTGTTGACTAATGCAAAGTCCTTTAAATCAATGTTCTTATTGTCCAACATGTTCTCTTCATCCATGTGATCATTAATAAAGTTTATCTCTTTACTGGTAACATTTTGAGAGCTCTGTGACTTTGATGACCCATCCTCCGGTGCTCCGGACCCATCCTCCAATGCTCTGGATTCTTCTTTCTCCAAATTTTGCATTTTGTTGTGCATTACTGTAAAGTTCTCCAAGTCAAGGTTCTTTGTGTTCTGTTCATTTTGGTCTTTGTTCATTTGACTACTAATGGCCTCTTTTGAAACATCCTCACAGCTGACGTAATCATTTATCTGGGACTTGGAAAGTCCAGATTCTTCACTCTCCAGGTCAAATGTTTGATTACCTTGAAAGCACTTATGTAGCATTGATTCCTCCTCCGTATCAGAAACCCAGCAGGAGTCACTTCCTTTGTCAGGAATGTTCCCGATTTCATTAGACCCATTGTTTTTTTCTTTAGTAAAACAGTCAAATCCACAAACTACTGGACCGTCTTTGTCTACTTGAATATTAACATCCTTCCACCATTTGATTTTGTTCAGATCTTTTTCAATCAAGAGTCCAACTGAGGACTCCAGCAGTTTTTCTCCGTGAGGTTTTAGGAGACCACTCTCTGGTTCTTCTAACATGTTCTCCTGGACGTCAGGAAAGGAACGCATCTCAAACTCCAAGGAGGGCAGGAGGTTAAACAAACAGGATCTCTGTGTGCACAAGGGGGAATTCTGTGACTACACCAAACAGGAAAACAGCAAGGGTCTTTGAGATGTACAAAAGTGCACAGTGATGATTAACGATGACACCAGGTGCACAGGAGAGGATTAACGATGACACCAGGTGCACAGGAGAGGATTAACGATGACACCAGGTGCACAGGTGAGGATTAACGATGACACCAGGTGCACAGGGGAAGATTAACGATGACACCAGGTGCACAGGGGAAAATTAACGATGACACCAGGTGCACAGGAGAGGATTAACGACGACACCAGGTGCACAG